CTAAATAGAAGTAAAAGTCCGCCTATCCAATATTCCAAAATCCTATGGGCAATGCACACTATCAGTCACGCTCGCAGTCAGATAGTATGCTTGTACCACACAAGATTGCTGATACCATTGAACAGGAAAAAGTCAATTGTTGTCAATAAAGTTAATTCGTAATGTAAGGTACTTTTTTTACAACCAGCAACCTATGCTCCCCGTCCTATATAACTACCGTGCCTTTCAACCAAGAGGTATCAGGGCTTCAGCAACCTCCTGCACTCCCCTCTCCGTAGCTAGGAGATTAAACTGGGCTGCCGCATTCCTGGTATCCTGCACCTCAATTCGGATACCAAGAAGATTGATCTGTCTCCGTGTCTCCGGAGAGATTGGATAAACAGAGGCGCCGAGACCGAGGATGAGAAGATCTACAATAGGAAGACATACAGTTAGCATTCACAATCTGATTACGAATGGATAGTAGGGGCGGGAAAAAAAAAAAAAAAAAAAAAAAAAAAAAAAAGCAGGCCCTTTTCACGAAATAGAAACCCTTCAACATGGAAGGAAGAAAAAAGTAAAAGAACGTAAAAATTAGAACTTACCGGGTTTCGGCCATACCAGCTTCAACACCCCCCAAACCTCCTCACTAACCTCCCACTGACCTTTCTCGTTAATCATCGCTCGCATCCCATCCTTGCTCCCTCCCCCACTATCACCATCATTTTTCCCCGCCTCCCAGGGCCTCCATCGAAAAACTTCCCCATCAACCAACAAACACCCATCACCATCCGTAACCGTCATGCCATTACCCAGCTGGAACCCATCAGGAAAACAAGAATCAATAGCCGTGGACGGGGCGGCCACGTCCGCAAGCACATTCAGCGCACTGAGCGCAGATTCGCTGGCCTCGTCCCCGTCGGGCTCTGCTGCTTCATCAATGGCATCAGTATCACGAGTTTGGTGGTGGCGGCGGCGGCGACTGTTGACGCTGTGGCTGCTGTTATTCCGGACAATCTGCGGTTGGGAGGGGGTTCCGTGGGGTTGGTTGTTAGAAGAGGCTTGGGTGGCGGTGGTAGTAAAGTAGTGTAGGGAGTCGCGGTATCGTTGGTTTGGGATGTTCAAGGTGATGGCGTACTGGGCCAATGGAAGGAGGGTTTGGCGTCGTAACGGGTGTCTGTATATAGCTGGCGATGTGGGTATTGCTGTTGGTACTCGTATATGCGTTGATGTAGTCGGAGAGCGCAATGGCCACAGAAGCCGAGCGGCTGGGACCTGGGCGCGCATTGTCAATAGAACAAACTGGAGGGCAGAGGAGGTGTGGCTGCCTTTTTCCTTTCATGTCGAGACATAATTAGTAAATAGCCTAATAGATATCAACGGTATGTATCCTGATAAAGCCAAACGTTGCTGGTTCCAGACGAATAGAATGTTTTGCACTCCCACTGGAGCGTGATCGGGCCAAAAGTTGAGGCCGACACGGGAGAAATTTGAGAGTGAAAGAAATGGACCAGTCTCACAACGTATCATCTGTTTTGGCATTTCCAAAGCAAAAATTATAAGTAGCTAGAAAGACACATTGTTTTCACCTCTATAACTTGTCACTTTGGATTATCATCATATAGTTGCGCATTGCAGGCTCCTTTGGTTGAGCAAAATGCTAATGCCAAGCGCGGGTCGCGGCAAACAAAGTTCCGCTCCGCTCGCTGGTTTATTTCCCCCAAACCGCTCCGTGTGCATTGCAGTAATGTTATCACTCTACCCTATCCAAACCATTACTTTCTTGAGCTTATTGATACAGATACTGCAGCATCATCAGGCCAACTTGAAATGAACAAATTGTTTCGTATCGAGGAGTCTAGCTATCACATCTATGCTATTCTACTATATTCCGGCCACAGAAGTAAAAATATCCGGCTCCGGAGGATTCTGTTTCCTTTTGAAGAAGGTAATTATTAGGTTCCTTATACCACTGTCCTGCCCCGAAGCATAATGGACTTAATAAAGCTGAGGGCCAAAAACACACTATGAGTAACAGAGGATACTATGAAATCACTTTCAAATGTGATTCGTAAACAAAAAGAAAAGAATATAAGGAGCACGGCTTACCAACGACGCCCTGCCGAACAACCTAACGCCAGTCAAAGATTTCACAATCGCTGTTCCACAAGTCCTTAACTGAACAACTTTCTTTTCTCTCTCTCCTTTTTCCCCCCTTGCTTAATTAAATTACTCTGTTCTGTTCAACAATTCCCGCCAGCAGTAATATGGATTTTTCCATCAAGAACGCTGGTTTGCTATCTCCGGGTATATTTCACGATGTGATGCCTACCGAGTATAACCGTCCGTTAGCCGAGTGAAGATCTTTCTAGTCTCGAACTCATGCCATTTCTCTCCTCATCTGATTGACTAGAGCTGTCATCGCCCCCAGCTGTAGACGCGCTGCGTAAACGTTGAGCACGGTCTTGTAACACCTGCGCCTCCGCAGCTGCTCTCTGGGCACGAATCTGTTTTCGCCACATACTCGCATATCTTCCCTTCAGGCTAAGAAGCTGTTCATGGGTTCCGTGTTCGGCAACTTGCCCGTTATGTAGCACGAGAATTTGGTCTGCTGTCGTTATTGTGCTCAGGCGATGTGCAATAACAAGCATCGTGCGACCTTTAGACAATGTGGACAGCGCCCCTTGGATGTGTTCTTCCGTTTCCGTGTCCAAGGCAGCAGTGGCTTCGTCGAGGAGAATTATCCGGGGATCTTTGATAATAGTGCGTGCAATAGCCACACGCTGTTTCTCCCCACCACTCAAGCGCAGGCCTCGCTCGCCCACCTTAGTTTGATAGCCGTCAGGGAAGGCGAGAATTTTATCGTGAATACTCGCGGCCCGGCACGCCGCATAAACTTCCTCGTCCGTAGCAGACGGATTTGCGTACTTGAGATTATACATTAATGTTTCATTGAAAAGAACGGTATCTTGAGGGACAACACCAATATGTCGACGAACTGAATCAATAGTTAGATTCTCAACTTTGCGTCCGTCAATGAGGATATGACCCGACGAAGAATTGTAGAATCTGAATAGAAGGCGGAAAACAGTCGATTTTCCCCCTCCGGACTCGCCAACTAGGGCAGTGGTTGTTCCAGGGCGACAACGGAAACTCAGGCCGTTCAATGCGGGTTTTCGGGTATCATACGCAAACTTCACATTTTCGAAGGTAATCTCGCCATCACAGCGTGGAAGTTCGCGTGTGTTGGGTCCATCAATGACAGTTGGCTGTTCCCGGAAGAGTTCCAACATCCGCTCCGAATTTATCATGGCCGACTGAATAGAGCGGAAAAACGTCCCAAAAAAGTTAAGTGGCCCTTGCAGCTGGGCCATGTATGTCAATAAACTAACGAACTTCCCGACCTTCTGTTCGCCGGTTGCAACTTGATAGGCAGCGAGGAAACATGTTATCAGCAGCCCAAGCATGAAAACAGTATTCTGGCACGTATTCATTAATGTCAGCGAAAATAAGACATGATACTCGGCCTTTTGGAAATCGGTAACAGCTCCACGATACCGACCAAACTCGTACTGCTCTGCGTTGAAATATTTCACGGTTTCGTAAGACACCATCGAATCGTTTCTGCAGGAAATGGCAATCTGTCAGTCAACATAGATTATCTGAGAAAACTTCAAACGTCAACAAGCAATGAGCTTACTTCACAGCATCTTCTTGTCTGCTAGCATTGACATCTGACGCGGATCGCAGCTCTCATTGTGCCATGCGAATCGTCACGTAGAGGTAAATGAAGGTAACGATAGCAACTACC